GTGAAAATGACACTCAAAATCGAAATGGTAAAGTTATTCGCATATTCCATTCTGTATTTTCCATTTTTAATGTTACAAGTTTGAAAGTTTTTTTCTAGTTTCGTTTTCATTTTCTGTCCTCAGTCCCCACTAATTAGAAGTGGGAGTGTGATTACTTTTGCCCTTAACAAATGAATGTTGTTAGCAGAATTTACTTACAATGTATCGATCACTAGTAGGACAAACAAATATCGTATATTACTCTGGGTAAGGCAAACCCTTGTTACAATCAGATGGAGATATTCTATTCAATACCCTCATTTGCCTCTGGTTAAAGTGAAATTATATTAAATAATATTCATTTTAATGTGTTACAACTTCTCCCGGACTGAAAGTTTAATCTGTCATTCTTTCATTCATTTTCATCTAGTCTCTTCGAGGAGTTTTAATAATTACGAGTCATTGTACACCCCCCCCCCCCAACTTCCGTAAGTAAACACGTTAACCAAACCATTCCAAATGTCACTTTCGTCCCTTTTGGACACTCGCGAAGCTTCGCATGCTGAGTGTCTGTTAACAGTTCAATTAGTATTATATCTGATGATTCTTTACAGTAGTGTAAGTTATGGAATGAATTTGAATGATACAATCCCGTAAATTATTCACAGCAAACCATCAAACACCACTTAATGTTTCATCTACTTTGGTTCATTTTTGTTCTTTATATACTCTGTACGCAATCTGTAGATGTTAAGTTAGTACTAAGCGTTAATGGTATGATATTGATTGAAACGTTCTCAACCTGCTTTAGAGCTGGCTTTGATGTAATGGGTCCAGAGCCTCTCTTGAGGGTCCTACGGAAATTCTGAAGTTTGTTCTTTCTCCATGTCTTCATCTCTCTAAGTCCCTCTTTCATTCCCCCCTCGCTCACTCTCTTTCTTTCTATCCCCTATTTTTGAACAGCCGCTACACCGTGTGTCCTTCTCTGAGTTTTGCCGTAGCGATGTGGTTCAGCTTTAGTACTTACACTATAGTAAGCAGTCCTCAGCTTTTCATCCATACCCTTCTTGAGGGAAATTCCGTTCTCTGCTACCATGATCGGTAGTTTGTATCGTTGCCACGTCCATAAAAGTGAGCTGTGCATTACTTCTGGAGCCACCTAAGACGAAACAAAAAGAATCATCACTTGCTTCTGCGGTGAGTTCAATGTCCAATATGAGTGTAAATGAGAGTATGTTCACTCACTGGAAAAAGAAAGGTGCTACATAACACCTTTTACAGGTGCTACTGCAATAATGCCTCTGCAAAGGCAATAAAATTGCTGAAAGTAGCACCTTTGAGGGGCCTTCAGTGCTTTTGTGAGGCACTCACTCACGCTTCTTAATAAGCACTAGTTAGCACATTTGTTTTTCCAGTGTTGTGACACTAGCCAAGAGTAAAATACTTACATTATACGAAGGGTAATTTTCTGTCCTCCTTCCTTGCCCGTCCGCAAATCGAAACGAAATAAAATCTGCTCCATGAGTCATTTTTTCGACGATGACTGCACCACCGCTAAAAGGAAGTGTCTCTGGGGTGCTGTCCGGATCCCTATAAGCGACATTTCCTCCCGCGTATATGTTAAGACTTATGAAGTCAGTAGCTCCTGATAGCACAAACAGAAAACAATACAAATGTTTCTATTATCAATTTTGTACCGATAAGTATATGTAGGAGTACTAGCGATACACAATGTTTTCAGCTCTACTCGATGTTTTATCGTGACTTTTAACATTTCTACATGTTTTCACATGATTTTGAGTGGACTTCGTCCCATTCAACGCAGCATTCCTAGAATGAACGTTTGGATTCCGTAACTACTCGACTCACGTGGAATTTCTATTCTACGAGGGCACGATATATATACCTCTTGGGCATGGGATGCACCATGTATTCTTACGAGAATCTTCCTTCGGTCCAAAAGGGAGAGACATTCGTGCTTTCGCTAGCGCCTAGGAACTTGGCGAAGTTTCGCCAGCCACAGCGCGTGATTTGTTAACGGGACTAGCGCTGTGAACTACCTTGAAAGAGTTGGAAGGACCACGTATTCTCCAAATTAAAAGGCTACAAGTAGGTTAAGGTATTTAAGTAGACAATACATGAATCTCCCGAGGTACTGCGGCACAGAAAAAGAGCCATGACTTCAGCTATAGAAAATTGCAGAGCTCTACATCGCTTGTCCCAGTCCCAGGAGCGCACGCATAGCAGCATATGCGAGTGAGATTGTTCTATTTCTGGCTCAAGCGTCTGACTAGAAGCTGCCGCAGCCATGCAGACGCTCCCTTGACTGATGGGCCCATCAATGCAGACCTTAGGTATGGTGACCACTTACCCCTCATCATCTCTTTCTCTGCAGGTGTAAACTCTGGTCGTAAATGACCTGTAAATGTCTTCACGAGCTCTGGGTAGTCACCAAAGACAATCGGGTGTAGAATGGAACCAGCCTGTAACTGGTTAAATACCTCTGCGGCAAAGGAGTCCTCGATCGACGTTGTGTTGGGTTTGGCCGTAATGATCCACGTGTTGACACCCACGCGTCCTAAGAAACGAGAGCAAGTTCATGTCAATGTGCATATTAAATTTTAAAACGTGCACGCTTTTTTGTGATTCAAAAAGACGTGCACGATGTTGTGATTATCATAGCAGAAAAAGTACACCATTCACTTCACTGCTTGTATTTCAGATGAGAAGCTCTTATTTGTGCGATACTTTTAGGCACCATAGTTTTGCGCAAATGTGGATCAAATCGTTTTGCAATGAATTCGAATTCATTTGTAAATAAGTATTACACAAAATTTGTGATAAAAATAGTATCACTCCCCTTCGAGTGATACACAATGGGAATCACACAAGCATTTCATCACAAGAATATGTGTGAAAAGTATCACACCTAGAATTACAGTGTCCAGCGCAAAATAGCTCGGTCCCTTTATACGGGACCAGCATCAGAACGCCGGTAAGGACTAGGTGGAGATAGCAAGCTTGCAGTAGTTACTTGGACATATGGCTTCGCGCATTTACTTTTGAGAGAACATGGAACATTGCTTGGTGTAACAAACACTTGTCCCTATTGGCAGCTGTCGGGCGAATATATTTTCTCCTCGTCTACAATTTGTTCGCAAACTTACGAAATTCCTGCAAACTATTGCCGTTTGCGTTTTTGAATGAATTGAGTTTGGGGAGTTGCGAGGTATTAGTATCCGTTAACATGAAGATCATTTTGAAAGGACTAAATAAATGTTCCAAATAGCCTACCTCCTCTTTTCTAGGCATTTGCAATTTTTAAATTACCTGTAAGTTTGTCTTCTTTGAATGCTCGGTACGCCTCTGCGTGCGCCAGTGTTATGTGGTGCATGCACTTGTAGGTATCATAATTGTCGGCCTGCACAAGGCCTGCCGTGATAAGGAGGGTGCCGAAATAGGCACACATGCCGTTCGGTTCGTTGATGGTGGCCCACAGCTGGACCTGGGATCAGGAAAAGTAATTTTGTTAGGTATCTCTCCTCAAGACACGAAATACTCGCCGCTTGTCAACATTGGAACCAAGCTTTTATTTTACATCCTCTATTAGATTATGACTCCGGCTGTTGGTCTCTCCGAATATTTTGATATTGTTTCGGGCCACCCTCCGGCCCAACGGCGAGCTCTGCGCCAAACTTGAAACGCGGTCCGCACCGGGTAAATCGGGTCCGATTGTAACACCAAGATGCACCAAAAAATCGACTGCTGTGCCGCATCATTTTTTTTTGTGGATGGTAGAGTGTGATTGTTTCAGACATTGTGTGCATGTCTCTGATTGTTTTAGATTATAGGATGAGTATTGTGACATGTTTTGAAATATTCTGTCAAATTGTGACGTGATTGTGTGTGATTGTGTCGTGATTGTGCGTGATTGTGTCGGATTGCGTGTGGTTGTTTTTGATTGTGTGTGATTGTGGCCGACTGTTTGTGAATGTTTTTCCCGATCCACATATATTCTGTCTACTTCCAACCCTTCGGTTGTACCCCAAAATGTACTCGTATCAAAAAGTCTTAGATTTTCGAGGGTAAACTGCTGTAGACACCCACTGTTTCAGTATTCTGAGACTTTTAGCTTTTTTGGCTAAATAATGTTAGTGCTTTTTAGTATCAAGGCGGTATGCGACCCTTCTTGACCTATATCACATAGTTGTGAAGGGACGCGGAACCAAAATTGTCCGTTTGCTGAGGATGACTCACCAAGCACTAAAAAAACGATTGGACAATGATAGCTTGGATCGAATACGCACTGTTTTCCTGTTCTTCAACTAGCCCGGGGTGAAATAATTTTGCTGAATTCTGACTGAGACATAGATATAACTGACTGTTACCTGAACCACTCTTTTTGCCCCTGATCATGCTCTGCCCCACCCTGAGGCTCCCTGAACTAAAAAGGTTCAGGGTCGGGCAGGCCTGCGCCCCTCCCTAAAAACCGTCTTACCCGGTGTCTCGACGCGGCCCGTCTTGGCCGCGCCCGCTTCACAGCGGCCACTCATGGCGCATTCAGGGTGACGCAGACGTGATTCAGGATGTTTCATCAAACTTGAGCAGCAAGTTTATTTGTAAAACTATTCCAAGTCATATGCCACGTTTCTTACTCTGTTAGGAGACTTGAAAGCTGTTTAACATTCAGAGGAAGCAAGACTACGGAAATTAACGATATTTTTGTCAAATAATTCTCAAAATTAACCATTAACCTAATGTCTTATATTGCAAATTGCTTCTTGTTAGTTTACAAATAGACTGGTAATTTGGAAAAGCATTCAAAATTTTATAAATGTAATTTGTAATTTAACTATTTCCTCGCTCAAGAAATTTCGATGTTTATTTATAGTGTTAAATCTTTTCGTTCGAATCTTTCCGAAGTCTCATGAAACATTTTCCCGTATGTCTACGACTTTTTAGAATAATGTTCTGTATGGCTTTAGATATTTTCAAATACTGCAGCGAATAAATACCAATTCCAATAAATGTAGTGAAAACCGCGTTTCAGTGCGCCCAATAGGAGAAACGTGCGAGCAGACGAAAGATGCGCGCAGAGCGTCCCCGCCTGCCTCCTTTGAAGAGCCCGGACGGAGCCACCGTCTCGCGTGTTCCAGGTTAGCTCAGCGGGTAGAGGCGTCGTCACCACCAACAACAGTCCAGCAGCGAAGCATCCTCTCCAGCGATTCAGGGTTCGAGTCCAGCCGGGCTCTGATGCAGCTCGCGGGTGGGGGCGGGCGGCGGGTTCGGCGCGGCGGGCTGGGCTGACACTAGGCTGACGGAGGCATGATGCTTTGTTTTTGCCACCGCTACCTGCTCGCCGACCCGCCCAGCCCAGCTCGTCAATGCGTGCCATAGTTCAAAGTTTCAATGTAGGATTCAGGGCGTGAGATGTCCCTATGCTACCTCCATAGTCAGGCCGAGCGGATTCAGCGTAGAATCAGGAAAGAGTCAGGGGATATCATTTTTGCTAGGTAGGGCGTTAATAATGAAAAACCATAACGGCGTATCTACTCACCTTTGAGCTAAACTCGTTGAAAACAAATCGAGCATAATCACGAAATTTTTGAATCATCTCTCGACTTTGCCAGCCCCGAAACTGGTCTTCTAAAACCTGGGGGTGGTCGAAGTGATACACTGTGGCCTGCGAAATAAAAGCGGTCAGCAATTTGATAAATTAGACGAGAACAGCGAGGCTTCTTCCTGCCCCGGTGATTTGAGGGCAGTAGAGTCTCAGTTCACTATGCGAAAGTAAACTGTTCCTGATTATTTCATCCCTTGGTTAACACACTACATCATTCTCATCCGAACTCAAAGCTTGTTCACTGAGACAAAAAAATCTGTCTCAGCACTACACGTTAAGTCTCCAGATCAAAGCTTTTTCGTTGCACTATCCATATAGCGTTGGGAACTAAACGAAGCATCGCGCGAGGCTAAGAAAATTTAGAGCACGGCACTAAAACTTAATGGCAGGGCACGACTATCTTATTTTGAGCTGGGACAGAAGTCAGCAGCAAGAGATATTTTTCTCAGTGAACGACAAGGTGTAATAACCGATCCTAACTGAAACCTCGTCTTGTTATAGGCCTGCAAAAGTGGTGTTTCAGCTGAGGGACGGTCAACATCGATGATTCTGCGCTGGGCTGGCCAGCACTGGCGTATCTTGGAGACTAGCAACACTGGTATATATGTTTTTGGCTTACTTGCACACTCTTGCACGATCGCATTATTTCTCAGAGGGGATTTGAAGCGTGCTGCCTGCTAACGTCCAAACGAGAACCACTTCCACAACTCAAGCCCCAATTTTTCTCTGTATTTTATTTGAAATATTACCAATGCGACAATCAACTTTCAGTGCCTTCTCCAAAAGGATGGGACAGAGAAAGTGTAGTAGAATGCCCAAAACATGTACTTACAAATGGAATAAGACCTTGTTTAAGGATTTCGCCAATGAGATCATGGTAATATTGAACTCCTTCCATATTTGGTTTAGCTACATCCCCTTCTGGCAGTACTCGTGACCAAGAAATAGAAAAACGATACACCTGGAGCTGAAAAATGACAGGAGAAATGGTTGGGTAAGAGGCAAAAATAAGCGGGAAAAGGAAGAGTCGTACTTTCACTCAGCCTTCAGAGATTGTAACGTTCTCGCAAATCTTACGCCCATTTTAATACTAGTGCCACGACAACTGATGCCAAAACTGAACATTTGACTTAAATGTACAAGGAAGTCCCCGCCACGCTACCCGGTTTGAGGTACACCATCCGTTTTAGAGACGGCAAATTTCAGCGACGGATGTTTCAATGTATTCTTGAAGTTGATTGATTTGATTCACGATGTAGTGAGCCTGAGGGGGCTCACTACATCGTGATTTGATTCCTACCTTAAGTTTTTTGGCAATCGCGATATCCTCTTTGAAGCGGTGGTAGGAGTCTGCTGCATTGTCAGAATCGTTCGCATTTTTATAAGCTATAGCTCCTAGGTGTCCCGTGTGAAGTACATGGTCAACCATACTCTCAGATTTTCCTGTAAACAATGCAAATAACTATTTATCCTTCGAAAGAACATAGTCCTCGGCTCTTTTACGTATTAGGGTGATCCTCGGCGCATGGGCCATTTGATCCGGGAAGCGGAAGAAGGGATTACCTGACATAACCCCAAACTGGGATTTCTTGTGGCCGTTAATCTACAGTAAAACTGGCACGTTTTCCGTAAAAACAAAAGACAAAAAAAAAACTGTTTGCCTACGTGCTATAGTTCCTGAGATATGACGGAATGAAAAATGAGTCAAGTAGACTTATCCATTTTCACCTCTAGGTTTTACTTGAATAAGGAGACAAATCGAATTGACCCCTTATGAACGATGTAGCACTTAGAGATATTTGATAGATGAGATAACTCCTTTTGTAAGAAATTGAAGGACTTGCCTCGAAACTCTATTAATTTCTTAGAAGTAACTCGACTTATCTCCCTTTACGCAAATTTTTGCGGGAGATACATTTTTAAAATCTGGATAGGGTCGATATCAAATATTCTACCCTCGCTATTTTATCAAGCAGTCTCAAAAGAATAAGAATAAAAAATGAAAGTTTACATTTTTTTTTATTTTGTAGCGTAAAACAGTTTTTGGTGTTTCCTGAAAACTTGTGGTTATGTAGTTATCCCCTTCTTCCGCTTGCTGGACCGTTTACGTTTTGCGGCCTTTCAAAACTCGGTGATATGGTTCTTAACGGATATTAAAGCGGCTTGATTACACTGTCGTACTGGGTACCGGAACATTTTGCATGGAAGAAGTCGTTCAGTTACGATTTAAATTTATAATTGTAAAATTTACCACCTCTGCGTATTAGTTTGGAATCGGAAGACTAGCGAAGGTGGGAGTTTGTACCTGTACGACTCGTTTAGCAAATGGAAGATTAAAAAATATGACGTTTATATCCAAACATATTTTCTACGGTGTACACTAAGATTGTTTGGTGAAATGCTGTAAACTTCAGAATACTGCAATGGTGGGTGACTTGACCAGTGTAAAGGGTCGAAATGTTGAGAAATGGCCCTTTTGCTGAGAATCACCCATAAGTTCATTAGCTGTGAGATTACTTTAAGCGTTAAAGTAGAAACTTGATCGTAACTTAGATTGAGACCATCTCGTAATACATTATGGAATAACCTCATCCAAACTGTTTTTACAGCCATGTAGGCTGGATCATTGTTGAGAATTATTATTTTACCATTTTTGTGAATGTGGTTTACTGAGCAAACACTGTTCGTTCGTTTTATAATAGTTGCAGCGTGAGCCCTGATGCTTAAAAGAAGCTGGCGCTAAATCCTTTCTTCCCTATCACTTCTAGCGTTAAAATTGACACCTCAGAACAAAAGGCTTGCAGATCGACTGCTAGAAGAACCAAAATCTAAACAAGTTAGCCGTTCGTTCCGAGGTCCACACAGTTCATTTCACTCGCTATGTCCTACCTCTGTAGGGTAGGTGATACAGTTATGGGACGGTTAAGCGCACACTTTCGTTTGACGCAGCGCTGTGCGTCTCTCGATTAAAGATGATACGTACCTATGGGCTCATGGGCTAGTTGAAGGTTCGAACTAAAGGTTACCACTCTAGTTTGCCTAAGAATTCAACCCCTTACGCCATTTACAAGGTCACAAAGTCAGAGGTCGAAAAACACAGTTATTGGACGGCTGGAGACAGTTATTGGACGGCATGTCATAGTTATTGGACGCTTCCAATTTTTCCATCTAAAAGACCTAAAACGCGGGGGTTTCGGTATTTTTCCATGTTTTTTGTAACAATACGTCTACAGCTCACAGTTCTTTATGCGCTCGCACCCCCACCGACGTTTCCAACCCCATCCTACGCCTTTAAAACCTCGTTCAATGTTAATTTATAACAAATCATTAATTATTCTCTTTTCCGAGCCAAATTGAACGTCATATGTTTTTGTAGGCTTACAATATGACCCCACCCACTTTGCCCACCTCCCTCCGCCCCCCCTCTCCCTCCTCGGGCGCGTCGGCAGCGCGGTGAATAGCAGTCATGAAATGAGGGAAATTACAGTTGACATGCAGTGATATATTTGTATTTTACGATTACTGATTTAAGTTTT